CACATATCGGTTTCTTCCTATTGTCGGAGGTGTAATAGGACCACAGAGATCTCCATATAATAGTTCAAGCTTTCCTGATGCTCTGAAACTCGTAGCTTGAGGAAAATATCTCCTCACTTGCTTGCCAAGTAAACACGAGACGCACGTCTCCTTCTCTATCACAAAGTTTGGTACTCCTGTCACCAATTCCTTATCAACCATCATCCGCATGTTATCAAAATTAATGTGGCCAAGCCTCGCATGCCACCTACTCGAAGTATTTGAAGCTATCACTTGCATACAGGACGTAGTTTCAGCCTCAAGCGCCACCTTGTAGAGCTTGTTCTTTCCTCTACTACTCTTTATTAGCAATCTCCTGTCTCGATCATATATGTATAGTAGATCCTCCTTCATTCTTATCTCGCATCCCGCTTCCGTAGCTTGCCCCAAGCTTATGATATTACTCCTAAGAGCAGGGATGAAATAGACGTTTGGCAGAGTCTTTTTCACTCCATTTGAAAAGGCAAAACTGATCGATCCCTTTCCTTTTATGTCAATGCGAGAGTCATCACCAAACTTAACTTTTCCTGTTATGGTTTCGTCAAGTGTGATGAAGTAACAACGATCTCCGGTCATGAGATTACTGGCCCCATTATCCAAGTACCACATGTTACTTTGTTCTGAACTGTTCTCGAGGACATTAGGCTTCACCTTTTCTTCATTAAGAAATACCACATCATGTAACATCAACTCGTCTGCCGTATGTGTATCTTCTTCCTTTGTCTCTTGTGCTTCTTGTAATTAAAGCAAACGGTCAGGGCAATCAGAGGCGTAGTGCCCCAACTTATCGCATCAGTAGCAAATAATCTTTGATGCATCGCGGTAAGTTTCTCGATATGTATTTCTTCCGCGACCTCTTCCTCCTCTGTTGAATGAACGTCCTCCACGACCACGGCCTCTGCCATCAGTATTGTATCCACCACTAGAGCTCTTGTTATTGCTTTGACCATATTGATGATCGGAGTTAGTAAGCATCAGCTTGTTCTGTTCCTCCGAAGTCTCCTCCTCTACGTTAACACGTTCCTCATAGGCCTTTAGTCGACCGATTATATCTTCAAAACCGGTCGTCTTAAGGTCTAAGACTTGCTCTAAAGCTGCCACAATATGTATATACTTCTTGTGTGGAAGACTCTTCAGAAACTTCTTGACGAGTTTTGACTACTCTATGTCTTCTCCAAGTGCGGAGGATTTAGATGAAATCTCTGAAATTCTGCCGCTAAACTCGTCAATGGTCTCACTGTCCTTCATCTTCAGACGATCAAACTCAGCCATAAGAGTCTGAAGACGAGCCTCCTTGACTCTATCAGCCCCCATATGTCGCGTTTTAACAGCATCCCAGACCTTCTTTGCAGTATCCAACTCTCCGACCTGCAACACCAGAGCTTCTGGAATTGACTGAACGAGCAACGCCATGGCCATTTTGTTCTTTTCGTCGCCAGCACCTTCTTCTTCGATAATATCCCAGACCTTGTGTAACTTCAGCAGGATCTTCATCTTGATTGCCCATACCGTGTAGTTTGTAGCAGTCAGAATAGGGTGTTTGATTGATGATGATCCTGGTTCCTTCGGTTTTGTTGTAACAACTGTAAGATCCCCCATTGTTTCAACTTATGCTCTGATACCACGTGTTGAAACTGAACAATATAAGAACTTCGTGTATGCAACAGACTTATAAGACAACCTCTCTTATTAATCCTTCTTGAGGAAACTGACTCAAAACCTCAAGCTTTAGAAACACACACTCTGCATCTCATCATAACTCGATAGACATATATATATAGCTAACAAGAGTAACCTAATCTTAAAGATAAAGACAGAATGTTATAGATAACTCCTAAGTCATATTTCATCTTTATCTCAAAACACAACTTCTAGATAAGGCTTATCGTTAGCTTCCTCCGCAAGTATCTCATTCCTCCTTGATTATCTTCAAGCTTATTCCAACATAGAATTGTTCGAAGATATAATTAAAGAGGATTGACCCTCGCATAAATGTTGAATTTGTTTATCTCAGATCTTGGCAACGTACACAGAGATCAACCCTCATGCCTCTCATGTATTCGATCTGTTACAATATAAAGAAGCTTTGAGTTAGAAGAGGGTCCGAGGAGAAACCAATATGGCATGATCACCGAGGTTCCTTTTTTTGATGTAAAATTTATTCAGTCAAAAACATTTTTACATCAAATGTGCATCTATTGTTGATCTGGGTAATAAATCAAAAGTGAAAGAAAATTCTCTAATGATTTTGTAATCGGGTAAGAGTCTTGCACCCTTGTCCCAGACCATGCTCTAAACCCTTTTCCTTGAACTGACAATCAGGCGGATACACTTTCTAGATTCTTGCCAAAGGGGCGGGGTCCAATACCACATTTATTCTGTTTTATTTCTCTTGTTCTGTTTTATTTTTGAATTTAATATTGCTATCATCAATAGCAAAAGTTTGTGAATTTAAGAACCTGTAAAACATAATTAAACACCTATCATGGAACTGGAAGGTGGCTTATCTTCTGTGTATTGCTTAGTATTGTCAGCTCACGGAAAGATGAGGTAACCTACTGGGAGATTTCTTCCGAGGAACTTCTGATGAGCCTTGCACAAAAAAACTCCCGATGAGCATTTCACACATAAAAAACTTTCCATGAGCCACATTTGCGGCAGGTATCAAAACATGTGAGTTAGTGTAAGCAAACTATAGATTTGAAAAGACATATGTTGTGTAAACTACTGCATGCATACACAGAGGAGATTGATGAAACCCAGGAAAGCAATAAACCAAAAAAAAAAAGAGTGGTCGTACTTACGCTTCGTATCCAAGAAACATGAAAAGGTTTCAAAGAGGATTGTGGCAATTGAAAGATATGTTATATATATATGAGCACAATTCTTGCTGCTTGCAACAAATATCTCATCGGCTTCATCCACGGTCTGTTTCCTAATTTATCAGGTACACCTGAAGAAGGAGACCAAACTGAATTTGATTTCTAATATGAGAACCCGATTTCTAATAGAAGAACCCAAAATCCATGACGATCTCAGCAGATTAAACTCTCAAATTTAACATGGAAAGATGATTGGCTTCCATGAACATAGATATGGACTGAAATGGTTGTTCAAAAAACAATTGAGGAATGCTTCCTCAACAACATTCATTCTCCATCTCCCGTCTCCAATATTAGTCAAACCGCAAACACATGTTTGTTGCTCCTTTCTACTAAGGTGCAGAATCTTATCAATGAAGAGGGATCAATATACCTTTGGCATGCTACTTAGAGCTTCTGGGATATTGACATATGTTCGGCCAACTCAATCTCGTGACTGATATTTAGAATGTCTTCTTCTGTTATAGAACAGTGGCTGGCACTGAAATGATACGTTTCTATGCCTTCGAAGTAATTGTTCCAACTCGTCAAGAAACAAACCCTGAGGATCTGGAACACTCTTATATATATGAAAGAACAATGCGATGTGAAACAGTGAAATCAGCCAGGAGATCTCACAATACAGTTTTGGATTTCATGACAACGAAAAAAAACCAAGCTTTAACCTAAACCTATTTACTAACTATACTTAATAGCAAAACTACGGAGCCTTCAAGTTTTCAACTCTGACACGTCCGACCACCATTTTTGACGATGAGACCACTTCCATCAATGACGGACTGAACAGCGAAGCTCTTGGAGACGGACTTAGTTTGGCCAGACCTAGCGAAGATTGGGACTGAGAGAACTCGATTTCTCAGAAGAAAAGCTTGTCTGCGTCGGTTCCGTTGTTATTAGCGAGGAAAGAAGCGGAGACGAATTCGAACTCACGGCGAGCTCTTGGAGAAGAAGCTCGGTTTTGCTGTGGAGAGTTTAGATGGAAGAGATTACCTACTTTGTGAAATCAAATTACTTATAAAATATTACTACATTTTCAAATTTTATAACTGTTTTAAGTTTTTATATATATACTTATTCTTGGGTTCACCCCCTAGGTTCACTATCCATTAGGATATATTATTTCATATTTGATATCTTTTTAAAAATGAAACATAATCTTATTAAGTTATATTATGTTTAAAAAAATAAAAATACAAAAAATACAAAAAATAATAATTAATAAAACCGAAAATAATTCTTTTTAAAGAAAATGTTTTAACAGTAAACTCTAAACTCTAATCCTAAACCCTAAACCCCTAGGCAAATCATAAACCTTTGGATAAATCTATAAAAAGAAATAGTGTTTATGATTTACCCAAGGGTTAAGAGTTTAGGATTAGAGTTTAGGGTTTAGTGTTTATGATTTACCCAAAGGTTTTGAGTGAGTGAGTGAGTGTGTGTGTGTGTGTGTGTGTGTGTGTGTGTGTGTGTGTGTGTGTGTGTGTGTTGTGTG